GGTGCTGCTATAGTTCTGGTTGACTTGCAGTTTCCATCACAATAAATCTTTGCAGCACATTCCCGGAGGTTTTATAAAACTTTCTTGCACCTTCAAAAAAAAGTTACTCCAAGTTGAAACCTGTCATATAAGATTAAAAAAAAAAAAAAGAAGCAGTAAGTTGTCCATACTTAATCCTCAAAAAAACTTGTACAAGTTTACATTCTGCAGATCAAGAATACAAGAAATGTGAAAGGACAAGTAGCACACTTTGACTCTACATATTTATACAGCAAACAAGAAAAAAAGACCGATGCTCAAACCTCAGTACAGTCAGGCTCAAACCTCTCAGACCACCACACAATCAGTATTGGAAAAGTATTGATATATTGCATTTAAAATAGCTATTAGGAATGGCTATTGTACAAATCCATGCAACTATCCTTCATAAAGGAATCTATTATGTGTTATAGCAACACAATCCTATTTACACAATGATCTGTTGTTCCAGTCCATCAAGTATACAAGAATTTTTAATGCATCCAAAAAAAAAAAAAAAAAAGATCAATTAGGCATCGATCATCTGATTAAACAGACACATCCTGCTACTCAATTCTTTCAAGCATATTTGTAAATCGAAGCCTTCAGACTTCGCTGCAAACATCAAAAACCTATCCACTCATGTTTCAAGGAGCTGATTTTTAACCTTAATGAAATTCTGCACAAACTGAAACGTTACATGCTATTAACATGAAACACCAACATCTCAGACAACAGCTGAAAACTTTTGTTTTTGAAGATAGACTTAGGAGTTTTTATTCTTCTCACAAACGTTTTTATGAAATATCAGAAATCTTCCCAAAACACATAGCACAGGAGCACAGAAACACTTTCAAAGGGCATCAGAATTTTAAAAACGGAGAGCTGAATGATTAGGGCATCACAGCTGGCTCAGCTAAAGGTACAAAAGGCGGGGAATACAAATAAAAAGGAAATTACTATCTTTATACTTAAATCTTATTATTCACTCCGGAACAAAACACACTGCACAGTATGCTGATGCTAAGTATTCCTACACACTAAGCTTCTTAATTTTCACATCACCCCTTTATAATACCAAGAAACATCTGAAAGTTTGGAAAGTTAAACCTGAAAGGATGTTTTTGTGTTCTGTTTTTATATATGTACTATTATCTCTCTGATGTTCGGGGAAAGGAGTGCTATGAATCCTGAAAACCACATTCCTCCTATGCAAAACAGGAGAAAGAGTACATGAGGTAGCAACACAGATTGAAATGCAAAACCAGCATTTTAAAACCCTGAGATACCAATGCTGGCCTTGTTGCAACTTGTGCTTCTATCATGTTGAAAACTGACAACATAGACACAGATGAACTTGCTGCCAGCTCTTCCTTGCCTCCCCTCTTCCTTCTCCACCCATTGAATATAGAGAGAAGAAAAACTAAGCTTCCAAATAACATCAAGAAGTCATATTTGTTAAGTAATTCATTGACCACAAGTATTGCCTACTGCCAAAGGAGAGACACGCTGTCAAGTCTGCATCCTATAAATAAAATACATGATTCTTCCAGTAATATCTTCCCTTCTTATACTTGCCTTCTTACGCACACACTCTCAGAAAATCATTTGATTTTTAATCTCCTTAGCCGTTGAGACAATCTTACAGAAATCAGTCCAAATGCTTTACATATTTACTGATACTGAATTAACTGGATGTTCCCTTAACATCTGACAAAATGCTGTGGCATTCTCCAAATTGCTAAGCACTGTGTTGCAACAGGCTACCATGCATCTTCACATGCTCATTATGGATCCCTGCTGTCAAGCATTAGGAAGAAAGAGATAACCAAGTTATTGTAACAGCTTTCTTTCTCTTTCCTACATGCGTATGTGTGTATATATGTATACACACACACACACACACACACCAGCCTTTTATCCTTAGTTATGTTAGTAATGCAAAAAAAAAAAATTGTCCACATTTCAAATACAGTTTAGTGTTTTGTTACTGGGGCTTGTATTGATTAACTCCTGAGAGACACGTTCCAAGTTCAAATCCTTTCGAAGCTCTGTTTTTTCTCTTCATAGCACTGTTTGTAACTACTACATAGAATATATCCCATACGTACTTACCACACTTTCTTCAACACCTTGACACAGAATTCTAAGGAAATTTGTGTCTTATTTGCACCTTCCCGTTTGGCACCAAGCACGCCTAGAACATAGTTCAGTGGTATGGTGATGACGGGGTGACAGTTGGACTAGATGACCTTAGTGGCCTTTTCCAACCTTAATGATTGTATGATTCTATGATTAGGAGACATAGAAGAAGTTCTAGAATGCTTACAGCACTACATGGAGATGGCTTTCTCAACAGGTTAGCAGGCTATGCTAACACTCATACTGCAGGCAGACAGGATGACTGCACCTGACAACACTTCATCTTTTCCATGTCTATTTAATTGTTCTTATGCCAGAGGCCTCCCTTCATCATGAGTCTCTCCTGCACCTCTGGGCTGCAGCACTGGGCTTCCAATAGGAATACACTATTCCCTCTTGCAGCATGACATACACCAGCTACCTTCATCTAGGCAATTAACTTCATTTTCAACATTTCCTTAATTTTAGATGGATCACTAGGGTGTTGTTTTTCATCTGCTTCTCCATTTGCATTGTCCTGCAGCAGAACCTGCAAGTTAAAATCTGTCAAGTCCCATAGTACTAACCTCAAGCAGTGGAACTGACTGACAAAGAGCCAGACTTAACATTTTAAAGTCTTCAAAATGCAGATATCTTCACAACCTAATAAAGCCTGCTAGTTTCATCCAAGGAAACAGAACTGACAATCCCAGCTGTCTTTGGGCAACAGCAAACTACAGCTTAAAATAATAACCTCCCTCGTAAATGTTTCCCTGCCTTCCTACAGTGTGGCACTTCCACTCTCATAATCCACCTACCCAATGCCCTTTCTGCACGATACTTCAGTTTAAAAAAATAAATAAAAAAGATATATTTTAAGTAGGCCTAGTATTTTTATTAACCAATCACATTTTCAGAAGTCCCTTGTGGTTTTCATTAACTCAATGTGACTCTGTAAAAGACTACAATTTTCAAAATGTGCTGAGATTCATCTTTTGAAACTTTTGCAATATTATTTATTTTGTATATATTACACCTAGAAGTAGGCACATGCTATGCAGCTGATTTTAACAAGCATAGCTAGGCTCTCCTTATTTAATATTCATGTCACAGGAGTAAAAATCCAGCCAGGAATCAAACTGTGGCATCCTGTGCCAAAGACAACTTACCACTCAGCTGGTAAGTTGGCAATTCAATTTACAAACCTGCATTCCTGCATTTTAATCCTTTGTAGAAAGGTGGTAATGTATGAGCAATATGAAAAGAACTGGATTCAGATCATTAGAGGTTCACAAACTGAACACGCGAGTCTTTGGAGGCAGTCCAAAACAAAACCATGCCTAGGTGGTGATGTCCGTTCAATAAAAATTCAATGTCATAATTATCCTCTCACTTTTTCCCCAAAGAGCATTAGTGCTCAGAACTGTGCCACTGCTCAGCCAATTACATTAATGCTGTTAGAAGACAGATAGGGCCGGCAGCCAATCACTATGCCAGGTCACTGACTGCTGATGGATAATTTACAATTATCAAGCAATTAGCAAATGAAGTGAAAATTCAACACTCATCTCCACAGAGCATAGAATAACTCATTTTAAAATTAAAAATATGTTTTAATAACTTTATTTGGCCACACAGCCAAACAGCCACACAGACAGCCATCTTCTTCCAGTTTTTCCTCCCATACATGACTGATAAAATGCTCTGCTGTCTTCAGATAGCAACCAGATCTATCATTTTATATTTCTTAACAAAAACGGCTTCTTCCTTGCAAGAAAATATTTAACAACAGAAAAGATCAAAACTGGAAACTGTTAATAAAGGTACAATTTGCTCAACTATCTGAAACTGTTAGTTAACTGATCACTTGATGAAGATCCTGTACTGGAGGGTGAGTAGTAATTAGCCAAGCACCTATCTGTCTGGGACTCCACAACTCTCTTTTCTTCTCTAAATTTGACAATAAATGACATAAAAAGAAACTGATCTGCAGTTATTCTGTAGCACAAAACAAAACTCTGCTTTCCATCCACCATCAAGTTACTAGCTTGCAATGCTCACAACAAAGTCTGCAACTCCCACTGCCAACACTCACAACCCTAAATAAAAAATTTAGTAGAAATTTGACAACATCATTCCTGGAGAAATTTCTTTCCTTTCTAGAAAGATACTGCGTCTTACTTTGTATACACATAATGAACAGTGTAACTGACTTTGTTTTAAAAGAGCTGGAAAAAATGCGGACAAGACTGTCATCAACAACGAAGCCCAACTAGATTAACAGAGATTCCCATTGGAATTGGAGGACATTCTCATGTCCTCTGATAGCCAAAAACCAGGCTGACCTTTGAGAGTTGATCAGGGGAAAAAAAATAGGAAAAATTAAAGAAAACTTCTATCAAAAGGAGAAAGGGAAAATAAAAGAAAAAACTGTTGATATCAATATGCAAATATGTTTATATAGATGTGTATGCTCTGGACCACACTAGTCTTACTGTGCTAATGGCAGCTTTAGGTTTTCATCTTACAGATAAGTAAACCTGAACCAGAGAGAATTAAAAATATATAAAGTAAATACACAAGGCTAAGTGACGTCAATTGAGAAAAAAGAAAATGGATGGTGTTTGACACATTTCTCTCTCCAAAAAGATACTAGCAAGACACTAAGCTCTTTTGTGACTGTATGGAGTTTCAGAAAACATTTACGCTGTCAACACAAGATATTTACTTTTAAAACAGTCTCTCACCCTCTTTGCAGAGGAGGCATGCTTATCTATGAATTTTGTTCTTGCACCCCTCGGCACTACCACAATGTCTGAAAGCAGAGAACCGAAAGGAACAGAGAAAAGCCCTCCACAAACCTGTTGCTGTGGATACTGCATTCCTCCCATGGCTGCCGGGGCTCGTCCCTGCATCCCCACTGGGTAGCGCTGGGGGCCGGGAGGGCCGTAGGACTGCCCAGGGTAGGGGCTGCTCTGCTGCGCCTGGGAGTGAGGGTTATTGCCCATGCCATATAGCTGGGGTCTCTTCATGACCATTGGATCCATTGGGCTGCCCTGTTAACGAACACAAACAAAGAACTCGTTAAGAAATGCTGGAAGAAATAGGTCAGAACAGTCACGCTCATCGCGAGCAAAGCATGCAGGTATCCTCTCGACGCTTTTACATCATTTTTACAAACACATCAAAAATAGATCTGACATAAAAACAGGCACAGTACTATATTATGGCTTCCATTAATTGGATGAGTTTCTGAATGGTAAGCTTGAGATTTCTGCTACATTTAGAAATAAGTAAAATGAACTACACAGTCAAATTTAGACTATATCTGTCACGTACAAAAAGACAGGTATAGTAATTTCCCAGCAAATTCCAGCTTACAAAACAATTGAATAGACTGTTGTACACTGCCTTCAGTGTGTAAACATGCACAGAAGAATGTCTGCCAAGAGAGATATAACTAATGGGCAAGTAATTCAAACTTGAGAAAGTGTCTGTTTGCTTTCCTTCAGGAAAAATAAATAAATAAATAAATAAAAATCAGGAAAACGTAAAGAAAAGGAACTTCCCAACAAGCGCAATGCTTACAGAGTGCTGTATTTCAGTGCTCTCATATCGCTAGCACGTGCTTTAATAAGCTTCCAGATCATAAGGTAAGTCATAACCCACAATTTACATGGACGGCTATTTGCCTTTTTAACAGACTTCAGAAAATCCAAACTGAAATCACTTATGCAGGGGGGAGGGGAAGTTTTATTTTTAGACTTTTTGGCAGGACTTACCAAGCACCTTAACAGCTTCAAGATGGGTGTCAACCATCGTGTGCCATTACTCTCCTGTTTTATTACTGAGAACTGAACTAGAAAAAAATACCATACTACTCCAATAGCAGAAGTACTGTATTGCTTATATGGCAACCATTTCTTAGCTCCTGACTGACAAACAGTTATACTCAAACAAGAAAATTTAAGGAGTCTACCAGAATCTCATCTGAATGAGATATTCCTCCTTCCAAAAGAACCTCACCTACCCCCCACTCCAGGAGTCTTTTTCATGGAATACTTGGTACTTGTTTTCCTACAGAAAACTTCATTTTTAAGTCTCCTACGTAGCACACTTCTACAAGGCCTTTTTGGATACTATATTCTGACATGACAGCTCTTGTGAGAACAAATTACTTTTTCTCCCCATCCGTATTTCTTTTTGTTGTTAGTTTGTACTCCTAAAACACTATTCTTCCTACCAGTACAGACAGATGTGTCCCCCTCTAGTCATGCTCAACAAACAATATGTTGTTCTTACTATTTCTTCCTTGAAAGTGAAGAACTCAAAGCTTCTTATTTTTTCCATCCGTTTCCCCCATCTCTACCAATACCTATTTGTGAGCAATGTGACCAAAAAGAGCACAGTTTTCCAAATGCAGTCAATGCGTTGGTGGAAACCGTAACCTCATTCTCATATGACAGCTCCATTCATTTCAGTGGGCTGCCCTTTTTCCCTTCTTTTTTTTTTTTTCCTCTCTCTTTTTTTTTTTTTTTTTTTGCCACCACAGCAAACTGCACATTCAATTCTAATTTTGGCTAACTATTACTCAGCAATTTTCTCTTTATTATTTGGCTTTTTTCGTGGCCGGATTTGAAGTTTCTATTTTTTCACCACTAAACATCCCTGGGTAATTTACTATTTATATTTCACACTTTTAAAAATCGATGGTTCCCAAACCACGTTAGGCCACCTGATCCCTAGCAACACACTCAGTTTTTCTTCGACCATCAAGCACTGTCATCACACTCTTAACTGAAAACAGACCCATGTAAGGGCTCAGAAGATGAACCAGAGACGCCTTATTATAGGCTCACAGGGGACAAGTTAAATTCCCTTTCTGCAGGCCAAGATACTTTCTCTATGTTTATTTCTGTGTTTTAATGTTCATTCTTGCATACCACCTGTTGTATTCCTCTCCTAAATATAAATCCTTGCTTAATGAAAGTTTTGGGTTTCCTTCATGAGATGCTCATGAAGCCTAACAGCACTGCTTATTGCACCATCTTCTGATCAAGAGCACTGCTTCTTAGTCTCACTTCATATAACAACATTTACTCAAATTCTCATTAATTTTGAGCATAATATTTTCTGCTCCCCATCCAATACTTAAATAGAACTACAAAACAATGTGGATAATTACATCTAAAACAGTTTGATACTTTCCATTAGAAAGACAATTTTCAGGTGCATAGAAACCTTGCCAAACTTCAAGCATTTAGGCTGAAATTTTCCAGGCCATATGTATGCCTGAGGCTGAAATTCTCTGGAAAATTCAACTGAAGCAGTTCAGCTATGTCTTAGAATGAGGTCACAGAAGAATACATCATTTATGTTCTTACATAAAATACTTCAAAATACTGCTTGAATACCATGCTTTGGGGTGGAGGATTTTAATTTGCCAGAGTGACAATGGATTTTAGAGAAATACAAGACGTGTAGCCCTAAGAATCCCTGAACTTCATGGCTTCCTAGGAGTGGAGGAAAAACAGAGAGTGCAAGCTGCAGAGCACAGCGAGACCAGATCAAAGGAGTTATGAGGTGTAAAGAGGTGGCCTGAAATTTACCAGACAAAGAAAGGACAACAGGTTAAAAAAAGCAGTGGAGACAGAACTGGGGCAGAAGAGGTAGAAGGAAGAGGAGAAAAAAAGGTCAGGAGGTTAAATTAATACAGGCTAAATAGTCTTCATCCACTGGAACCAGTGATCTCCAAGCAGTGGAGGTTTTCTGCTTGTTCATTAGGTGGTTTGGGAGTGAGCTTCCTTGACATTCCATCCTTCTCTCCTTTCCTCTCCCCAGCCCACTGTCTCCCTTTAGCTCTCACTTCTCCCTGTCCTACCCTGGAGACCCTACTCTCCCTCCCTCTGGTGAGATAAAGACTGAGAAAGAGCTCCAGTCACTGGGGCCTACAGGTGACCCATGCCATGCTGTGATCACCAGACGCAAGTAACAACGGCACGGGTGAAGAAGGACCTGGGCATACTCAGAGCTTACACTGGACCCTGCCAGTGATACACCAGAATCAAAGGGCAGGACAAGCCAGAGATACCTGCCCGTGGTGTTAATGCTGCTTGTTCCCTTCATAGCCTCGGGAAATGGTAAGAAATAGTACAATAAAGTCCTCTGGATCATCATTAGGCGGAGAAGTAAGACTCTGGTATTAAGTATTCAAAGCCATGGAAGAGAAGGATGGTCCATCTTAGCCATCTTGATTTCTCGTCCTCAGAATCATGAGGAGGCAGGCGGTCACAAAGGAGATACTAAGACCAACTCAGCACTGTGTACACTTGAGCACGCTCAGATATACACAGGGAGGCCTCTCCCACAGGTGGGGAACACACTATTGGAAATACCACACAAAAAACCATAGCCTGAAATGAAACCTAAGTGTAAGGAAACTCCCAGGAATCTTCTAGCATCATAGAACTGCTACATGTAACCCAATGAAGACACAAATCACCCTTTGTTGTGGCTGGTCCCTATGAAGGAGGCACCTTACCCTCCATCTACCATGGTTTTTACTTAAAGCTGAATAAACTTACTAAAACAATGAGTTTTCAACATATATCAGTTTAAGGCATCCCTCATTCCCTGACTTGAAGTCACAGGATTTTACATGTAAAAATGCTTCATATTTACCAACTGAACTACTTTTGAACCTGATGAGATATGATTTGGAGACCTTTTGAGGAGTTATGCATTGCAGAAAATTGGACCTACAGCCATCACAGACAGATCACAGACAAGCTACTCAAACTTCCTACTGTAATGCCTCAGTTTCCTAACTGCAATAGTGGGGAAAAAAAATAAAATCATTACATCCTCACTAGAGAGGTGATTTTAAAATTTAATATGACAGTGATCAATACCATACAAAACTCTCTCAATAAAGAGCAGATTTTGTCTTCAGAACATCATATGGTAAGAAAGACCTGGAGCCATACGCTTAACAAAAGAAACGGTGCTCACTAAGTATCGAGTGTACTGTACAGTGGAGTTAGAAATTTAATTATAACTTTTTCTAACTTTATCATGTGCACAGTTTTCAGCTTCAGCATTCTTTTGAAGTTTCTTCTTTAGAGAAGGAGTTTTTCTCACTCACAATGTTTTGAAAAGTTAAAGTTCTTATTTCAGAAATACATCTTACATCTTCCTACACGAAGGTTCCTTTAACATTTGTTAAGTTTGAATATTTTCTTTTTCACATTAGTTTTGAAAGTTTTCAAAGACAACTTTAGGGCAACAGAATCACGATGAAAGTGTCAATCTGCATGTTCTAGGGATCAACAACCAAGCACCCCACACCTGCACACAAATGCTTTTCAGAACGACTGCTGCTGACATTCAGTGAATTTTCCTACACCCCAGCGGACTTCTATTATCCTGAATGGATGTTGTTTATTTTTTCCACACCTTCTACGCATTTACTTAAAACTGATAAGTAAATAGAACTAAAATATAGCATTTAATATAATTATTTTAGTTTCATTGCAACTATCAGTATCCATCTATTTCCCTGACACTAACTTGTGGTCAATTTAGTTTGCTCACCCTAATTTCTACTGCCATATTCTGTCACACAAGCCTGAGCAGAATTGGCACTTTCATTCTGACTGCACCTCCTTTTCAACCTGCTGCATTTCATTTCAACTTTGCACAGATCTGTAGTTCCTCAAAATACCTCAGTTTTGCTCTTTGCTTCGGTCTGCAGTAATACAATTCGTACCTTCTTTATTGCAGTGCCTATCTTATATCACTATCGGATTCATTTGCACACGTACTACCAGGCTTTGTGAAAACAGAGTGCTTCATAAAAGACCTTGCCCATTGTGCGCATTGTGAGCACATTAAAACACTGAAAAGAAGCTTTGCTAATGATTTCAACAGGGCCAAGGTTTCATTCCTACTCTTTGGATTGATAGTGTCACCATTAAGACAAGAAGAAAAGCTTACACTGCCTACAGATAGTAACCAACAAACCTTTTCTGTTACATGTTCCTTCCTTCAGTGTTTT